TGCCGTCTTCATGTAGACACGGGCAAAAGCACAGAGAAAGGCAAGCGTTTTCAAATTTAGCTGGCTTTCCGTAGCCTACTCTCACACTCGCTCGTTCGCCCCCACCGTCACCACCCAACCCTCCCTCCCGGAGCCTCTGTAACCTCCCCCTCACCTCTCCTCGCTTCCCCTTCACTCACCCACCCACCCACGCTCCATCACCCCACCGTCCACCTCTCACCCCACCACTCTTGCAATCGTTGTGCTCCTCTTCTCTTTTCTCCTCTCCTCCCCTCCACCCACACTCTCTCTTTTTCCTCCGAGCCCCCAGCAGTACCACCATCACTACCAGCACCATCATCTCACTCTCTCTCTTTCTCTCTCCTGTCCTTTACCACTTTCTTCCCTCTGTCCCTCCCTCCTCTAAAGCCTTCAGGCACTGCTTGATTTATGCTTGCCCTCCCTATCCACCTCCCCACCACCACCCACCCACCCACCCATCCTTCCCTATCTCTCCTGGAGGTTGTGGCCCGGCTAGTCCCTAAAAACAACAGAGAAAGAAAGCAACAGCGAGAGAGAGAGAGAGAGAGAGAGGATAACAACCTCTTTTACTTTCCATCCTCCCTCCTTTTTAACCCAGCATTTTTTTCATTCTCCTCTCCCACACTGCTTTTTAAATTGCCTCTGAATTCTTGAGCTGTTTTAGTGCCTCACTCCCCCTTCTTAGCTGAAATTACTTTTTTACCCTCTCAAACTCTGGCATGCTGAGGAAGCAAGTTCCACCTTCCCTCCCCTCTTTGTCCACTCGAGGACAAACAGGCACTAATCACAGGTTCAGCGTACGAAACTGTTTGTAATAAAAGGTGAAGGAGAGACTTTCATTTTCTCATTTGGAAGCTTGACGCTGTGACGGCGGCGCGCGTGTTGCTCACAGTCTTGTGAGCAACACGGCTCTTGTAATGCCTTGTCCTTTTCAACCTCAGGCTGGTCAAGCCATTAACCGGGCCGACTTGGGGCAAGGCTTCTTTCTGTATCCTCCGCTGTCTCTCACGCACACATGCGCACATATATGCATGGAGAGATACACATTGAGAGAGTCTTTCTCCTTTGTTTGCGCTCTCTCATACTCAAACATGCACACAAGCCCTACTTTCTTCTCTGACAGCTCTCTTGTGGTCGTCAAGCCTCAGTAACTCGTTGCTTAACCACCCTGGACTTTTTCTCTCCATTGTGTTTGGTTACTGTCTCTGTTGATTTGAAGGCGGGGTGAGTTATGTGAGTGTGTGTTTGTGACTCGAGGTGTTGAAGGAGCGTGTCCATCATTAGCCAGGTCATGTGCGCTTGAGTGCGAAACCTGTAGAAATCTTTTTGGGGGGAGTTTTGTGCCTTTTTTTTTTTTTTCTTTCTTTTCTTTTTTTTTTTTAATCTATTAGAATCTTTATATTTGGAAAATGGAAACTCCCTCCCAAAACAGTGTCAGGCTTCATTTAGAGAAGAGGGAGGCATTTGTAGCGCGAAACACACACAAACACCCGCCCGCACACACACAATCAGAACAGAAGATCAGAGGTCAAACTGGGTCACCCGACCCTTCCCTCCCTTTTCAGGCCTTCTCTCTCCTCCTTTTTACTGCGTCAAAGCGTGCTCTCTAGTAACACAACTCCCCTTGTGAAACACACACACACACATATCACTTAGATACAGTGCAGCCTCCAACCACAGCGCATAAAACTCTATCTTCTATCCATTAGCCGTAACTCGCTCAATGGATGATAAATTCAGGATTCCTCATAACACATTTGAAGTATAGTTCAGCGCACACCTATTTTATTTCCAAGGCAAGTCTTATTCCTCCTTTGCTTTTTCCCACTCAAGCCCCTGCATAGCTTGCAGCATCGCTCATGCGCGCGCACACGCACCCAAAACACACACATGAACAAAGAGAACCCACCATTTCCACATATTTGTCTCTCTTTTTAAAAGGGGGTTTTATTTAGCATAAATGTTGAAGCCAAGGGTGCCCGGCTACCATGGCAACCAAATTAAACGGAAGATCTCTTCAGAAAGCAGAAATCTAAATTATTCGGACTCTTTTATGAAGGGGAAAATGAAAATTCCCTTCACTGTACAGAGACCGCTGCACTGTAAAGGCAGAAGAAAAGAGGAGGGGGAAAAAAAGACGAGGAAAATGCTATTGTTTTTTTTGTATCTGACCACGCAGTTCAAAGCCATATTCCACGCCATTGAAATTCATAGGTTGCCTCATGACAACCGGTACGTTAACACTCAGCATATGTGCACAAAGGAATGATGTAACCACAGTGTCTCTAAAACTCGGGATAAACCTATTGCCTTTGAAAGATACCACAATATGTGTATCTACAAATCCTCAACCAAACCCGGCACATGTATGATGAAATCCATAAGCTGCGCGCATGGGATTAGGTGCGACTGGTTCTGGTGTGGTAAATGATTTTATCTGTAAGAACAGGATGAGGTTTAAGTAAGACAGCATCTACGCAGGCCCAATAAAGCTTACATAAGTAAAGGCGGATTATACCGTATATTGCGATTATTTAGCGAGGAAGCCTGTTTGCGATCAGCTGAATACTAATTTCTAATATCTCCCGCTTAGTCCCGGATATGTGGGTATATCCTCAGAAAAACAGGATATGGCACTGCATGTTGCAGGCAAGGGAAAGTGGCTCACTAATGCATCAAATACAAAAATTCATTTCACACATTTTTCTGTGCAAGACAGAAGTTAGACCGGCATCTGCAAGGAGACCATGAAGCAATCACTCTTCCATAACCCTTCCATTCAATCTACAATGTGTGACTGAAGGATTGTTACTGTATGACTGTGAGGAGTGCGGATATGTTCCATCTGTAGATGCACGTGTCTAAGGGGATGCTGGGAAACCGTTCTGGGGTCATTCACTCACCCAATGAACAGATGAGTGGAAGGAGATAGGGGTCAGAGATGACCCTCTTTTCCCTCTCTCCTTCCATTTGTCTGCCTCTTCTTTCTCCATATATGTGTGTATTTGTGCAAGTGTGTGTGTGTGTGTGCTGTTGTTGGCCAACAGCAGATCTATGTTATTGATTGACTCCTGTGGCTGCTGGGCTGCCCACTGAAGGAGGGGGCAGAGCTCTAATGAATTCCTGCACCTCATGCCCTGTGCGCCAACCCCTACACCCCCTCCTTAATTAACTTTGTGTGTGTGTGCGGGTGGGACGGGGGTGTGCGTGGAGGCACGCATGTGTGTCTTGTGTGTATCATCTGTGCTTCCTCCACAGCTCAACACCCCCGCTTTTACACTCCCTTGCCTTTTTTATTCCTTTATCTCTTTCTACGCTGCCCATGCCTCCTCTTTTTTTCCCTCTCTACTCCCCCTACCCTTATTTTTTTTAATATCTTGTGATACGTTAGCTAGCCGTTTGATGACTACTGATTACTTCGTATGTATGTCACTCTCATCTGAGGCGGCCCATCCTCAATATCTCACTCATATCTCTCTACACCTTTCAGATCTATATGTGCAGCCATGCATACAGAACGTGTATCCATCCATCTGATCTGGGATCATTTATCTATCCCGAGCATGAAAAATGACTGACAGTTTCCCTGTGTCTGTGTGTGAGAGAGGGAGAGAGAGAGGGTGGTCAGCATTGACCTAGTAAGCTGAGAAAAAGCTGTATACCCATCGGTATTCCAGACGTGGAGCCAAACTACTGTCTTTGTCACCTTGACTCCCCTGCAGCAGACGGCCACCAGGCTGCACAGGAAACACTTAACACTGCCCAACTGTAGTTAAAATGAACAATAGGGCTATTTTGTTTTCTTGCTTCCATTAAATTTTTTCATGTTTTCTTTCCTCTTTTGCTTCCCCACCCGTTTCTGTTCTCAGTGCCCCCGCATCACCCTAGTTACTGTCCTCACTCTGTTTATTCCCCATTAGCTCTGAGTGTGATTTCAGCTGTCGCTGCATGGGCGCTGTGCAACGGTAAACTTATATATTAGGATGTCAGAAGGTTTCTGTCCAGAACAGTCACACATAATTATGTACACACACCCCTCTCCTTAAGGCAAGACTCAAGTCTGCATTAGCTCTCAGAAGTCTCTGTGTTTGTTTTAGATGTAGACAAGCCATTCTTTCAAAGACTCTAAGCCAGTGATGTGCCTGGTGTGTATTTTTGTCTACTTCTTTGTTGGAGAAAGCAACCTGTCATCAGCTAAATGTCAATTAGGAGGTAATAAAAGTGTGTTTGTGTCTGTATTTGTGTGTGTTTTTGTTTGCGTGTGTGTGTGTGCTGAGCAGAGCTGTCGTCAGCAGTGTGGTCTGACAGTCTTGTAGATCTACAGTGGAACCTCCAGCGACATGTCTACTGCTGACAGCTTCTCTCTGCTTTCAACGAGTCTGATGGCTAAATGCACACACGCGCACACACACACACACTCAAGCACACACGCTCACAGGCATAGCGCATAAACACGCGCGCACACATGGATCACGTCTGTGTCTGCCATTCGGTCTCACACTGTCTCTTTATGATCTCTCTGTATTTTTGTTGACTGGTGATGATGAGGTATGTTAGGGAGTCGAGGAGAGCGAGGGATGAATCAGAGTGGTGACGTGTTGGTAGTCGCTACCAAAAACACTGGGTGTAAACGATGACTTGGCTGAGAGGGTTGAAAGGATTGGTTTAATATGGTGTTTTTTTGTGCTTTCACTCAGGCTGTTATCACTGTCAGGTGAAACCTAAAAGTGTCAACTTTTTTTCTTGTTTTTTGTAGTTTGGCCATCGCTGTTTATCCCCTTTGGAGATGCTTCACAGTGTCAAAAGTGATGGAATTTTCATCCTATAGAGAAACATATAATCCCTCAAATATATTAAAACAGTGCTTCAGTGATTTAAAACACCAGCTTGAGCTTGAATAGCATTTTAATGTCACTCATTTTTAGTTGTATAAGGACACAAGAACCTCACCCGTCTTCTGTTACTTCATCTCTATTCAGGGGCAGACGTGACTGAACCCAACAGCTCAGACAGCCGTGGCGAACGCCTCGACTTCTTCCTCAAACAGGAAGAGCCTCTTGCCACAGAGCCCAGCTTCCTGGGCACCAACGAATTGGAGGAGGCCGGGGGAGGAGCCGGGGGTGGAACAATCTCATCTGTAGCCAATCTGAAGGCAGCGCTGATGAGTAAGAACAGCCTGCTGTCACTGCGGGCTGAGATGATGGGAGATGATAACCCCTTGTTGTATGAGTACCTGCCCAAAGGAGGACACTCCCTGTCTTGTAAGTCACTATTTACTAACACTGCACTCACCCTGATTGTTATACACA